GGACCTCGGTCCAGGCTCACATCAGATATGCTGTCCTTCCTCCAGCTCTGGAGTGAAAGGGATCAAAGGCGCTTCAACTAAGCGAGGACTGGAGAAGGGCAAGCAGTGGACCTACTGCTATATCAGGACGTACATTTTCTCTCCATGTTATTCGGAGATATATCATTTGTCTTATCTAGGTTGCTGTTTTGTGCTGACTTCCCTCCCTGCCAAAATTCTGTACCCTGCCTCTGAAGTGGAAGCATGAACAGTTATCACAATCAGTGCAAATGTCACCTAGCATCATCTCCAACTTGTTAAATGCTTATTACATCTTGTCACAGCATACCATATGGCAAGGGATAAGATTTGAAGAGAAAAAAAAAAAAAAAACAACTTATCCGAGCTTCACTGCAGACAGCCTGAGAAAAAAAAATACAATGGAATAAAGCGATGATTTTGAACAGATGTGCACATCAAAATTTGATTTATTGGGCTTGGAAACGCGATTGGCATCCTCCGGTATCTAGACTGCTGGTGCTCGTACTGATCTTTGTGCACGGTGGATAATATTTGTCTTTAGAAGGGATGAGTGCACGCCTGGATAAGTGAGTCTGCTGAATAAATGATGTTTATAATCACAGCCCTGGGTGTCAACTAATGTGCCTGGGGAGATGGGGTGGGGGTGGGGGGTGGGCTGAGGGGGGAGTGGTGCTGAGTTTCTCATTTGTCCGAGCAAGCCCCTCCAAGGCAGAGGATAATGTGCATTTAAACTGCTGCATGGGTGGGTAATGGGATTGTGAACACGCTGGTGTCTTGCTGGATAAGCGGCTCTGATAGTGCCACTGACCTCCTTCCCAACAGCTGGGACAGGGAATCGTAGCAAGGGCTCATTTTGTTTGCGTGTTTAGGTTGAAGGCGCCAAGTATGAGACAAATGGGCAACGGTAGGTGTGCAGGTGGGAGGCATGAACTTTTCCACAGCTGGAAAATAAATAAAGGGGAAGGGATAGTTTAGGAATTAAAGTGGCCTTTAAAAAAAAAAAAAAAGGAATTAAAGTGGCAGAAGGGTCATATCTGCTAGGAATCCACTTTTTACATTAAAGTCATGGAAACTAAAGCCATATGATCACGTTTTAAACACTGTTATAACACTGAGTAATATTGAATTGCATGCAGGTTAGCAGCTTTATATTTTCTCTGTTGGGTAGTTTCAACTTGTGGCCGCTATTCCACTTTGTGAATGCAGCTCGTCTCAGGCGGCCTGTGTTGTAATGACTTTCCAGACAGTTCTTTTTGGGAAATTGAGCAATTCTAAAAAAGAAAAAAAAAAATTTTTCCCCGATTTCGACTCATGATTTGTCCTCTTTGAAGCTCCGTTGGTTGCCTGGTGTTCTTTTGAAAACTTGCATATCAAACTGCTTATTGCAAGACCTATTCAACAGCTGACACAGTGTTAATTAGCATTCAGCTGAATATAAAGCACTGGGCCAATCTGATTAATTCACAGTTAATTCAAGCCATTTCTCTTTAACTTCAAGGGAACCAAGTTAAAATCAGGATAAATGAGAATATACATGTATTAGGGGTGCAACAATACTCGTATTGATATTGAATCGTTCGATACAGTGCTTTCGGTTTGGTACGCATATGTATCGAACAATACAAAATTATTTATTTATTTTATTAACTTTTCTTCTGACGATGCTGTCTGTGTTGAGCGCTCAGTGGATCTGCGTTCGACTACTCCGCCTAGGCTGCACTGTCGAGTGCAGATCCACTGAGCGCAGCGCAAGCTAGCAATACAGAAGCTAAGCTCGTTGCAACATAGCAACTGCCTCAACGCTACCCGAAATTGAACCTCCCCCACCCTCATTCAGATCTGGTGTTTGCAACTATCTTGGTTTTCATGTGAAGCATGATCCTGATGGTAAGCGCGTCATGGACAAAAGTAAAACAGTATGTCGGATGTGCCACGCAATGCTCAATTGGTGTGAACTAGTGTGTTAGCGCAGTTAGCTTGTTAACCTGTTAAAAAAGAGACGTTTCTCTGTAATAAACTCTCTTTTCCAAAGATGAGTGATTTCTCGATCAGATAGTTTTATTATTGTTTTGTTTTAGCAAAATTAAATTTAAAACTGCACTAAAATATATTATATTAAAATGTATATTATAATTTTAATAAATGACAAATTAAAAAGGCATGAACATTTTTTGTATCGAAAAAATATCGAACCGTGACTCCAAAGTATCGAACCAAGCCAAACCGTGAATTTTGTGTATCGTTGCACCCCTAATATATTTAAAATTTGATTCATGTCAGTATTATCAAATTCTGCTCCATGCTTTCTTGTATCAACATTTCGAAGTATGGTGTGAGCATCACTTAAAAGGTAACGGTTTAGGATGTCATTCCCAACCAGTGGTACAATTACCCAAAAGAAGACTACTCAGAAATGACAAATTATTTAAATAACTGGTAGTCCTATAGACGTGAGCATAAAAGTAAGCATAAAGTAATAGTAAATGATTAAAGTAGACAACTATTGGTCAAAAGGTGAAAAAATACAGTAGCAATAATTTGCTAAAATTACTGCTAATATGCTAAATTGCTAACAAAACTGATTTCAAAATTAGAGACTATTTTTTAATTCAAATTGTCAGCTAAGCACTGGGATAAAAAGATGAAAAATGACCTGCTGAAGTTCAAACAGACCATTAGAAATGGTGAAAAAAAAGTAATTTAAGAGGTTTTGAAACTGGCCTTTTTGCTGGTGGCAGGCAAGCTGGTTTGAGTGTTTCAGAAACTGCTGCTGTATGGAGATTTTCCTACACAGTCATATCTGGGATTTACAGAAAATAATCCAGCATAGAGAAGATACCCAGGGAGGCAGAGAAGAGCAGCCAGTCTGCTTTGAGTGGATACGAAGACAGCAGTAACACAAATAACCACTCGCTACAACCGAGGTATGCAGAAAAGCATCTCCAAGAGCACAGTACTTTAAACCTTGAAACAGATGGGCTACAGCAGCAGATGACCACAATGGATGTCATCATTTCCTTTTATTTATTTATTTTTTTTGTCTGTCCCGTTTGGCTTATTTGCAATCAGAATTATTGTCTAAAGGCGAAGAAAGATGCCCAACGGATTTACTTTACCAAATGGACAATCCCAGCCTTGCCGTAATGGTCTATTTGATTCACCTTTTATTGTTTATTTTATTTTATTTTCACTTGCTAAATACGGGACAGACTTGACTGGGGAAAAGAAAAGGGAGAAAGAAAGAGGGAAAGAAAAACAGCGAGGAAGATGGACAAGGGCAAAAAACAAAAACCAACAAAATAAGCAGACAAAAAATACATATCAATCACCTGGATCACCTGTTGAGAAAGAAAAAAGAGAAAACAAGCCGAAGGAACAACATCACGATGATATATGGGAATATACAGTAACAGTAAATACTAAATATTAAACATTATTGTGCAGCACGTAAGATCGACAGCGCACAGTGTGCTTTGAGGTAGGAGCCAAAAAAGGGTGTAGTTTGTGTGTGTGAGCACCCGTGTGTACACATGAGCATGAGCGCGCTTGTATTTAAAAGGTTCCTTCATGTAATGATCTGTTAGAGGGTGTGGGGAGCCACAGCCCCGTCCTCCAGGGCATGAAGCAGGTATGGAGGAGATCAAGACTCCAGACATCCAGAGGCCCCCAGAACACAAGAGACCAAAGAAGACCAACAGAGGGGCAGCCGCACCACCATCCCAGAAAGAGCTGAGGAGAGTCCCAGATGAGGGCTCACTCAGCAGCCGCGGAGCAGAAGCCAGGGGGGGTTGCAGTGACATGCCCGTGAGCTCCGCCGGCAGCCAGCTGTGCCTGAGTGACCGAGCCCCAGGCCGAGAGGTTGAGGGCACCCCACCCCCGAAGTGGCCCGAGCGAGCCCCAGGCTCCAGGCCCCGACAAGCAGCCACCAAGGAGTGTACCCGGACGCCCACCCCCGGACACAAAGAACCACCAGCGCACCGATGTCTGAGGGCGTCTGCCACTGGCAGGGGAAGTGGTGGGGGGAGATAGGCCTCCATACCTTGGAGGACCTGAGATGTCCCCAGAGAGGTGGCGTCTGGTACCCAACCTGACATATAGACGCAGACATACAGGCACACACAGATACAAACATCCATTCCCACCCTCGTGCTCTCATATGCAATTACTCAACACTCACCCAACGTGGGGGGGATGCCTTCCCTGCACCCTGGTGACACATCTTTACCCCAAGGCCCTGCATGTGTGGGTGATTGTGGTGGAGCGGGAAGAGGGAAACAGCTGGAGATGGGGAAGGAATGAAGGGAGGGGCAAGTGACCCCTCCCTGGTGCCAGCTCCCCCGCTGACCCCAGTAGGCACCCCCATACTCTGCAACCCGCCAGGGAAAGGGGGCCCAATTCAGCAGCGCCGTCCGGCCCCGCAGAGCCCGGGACAGCCCACCCGACCCCCACCACAGAGAAAACTGCACCCACCCCATCATCCACTCATCTTCCAGACTACACAAGACAATAGACGCCCAGGCTGAGATCTTCCTCCACCTCTCCTATAACTCCCCCTCCTGCAGAGTGAGTTCCTGAAGAGAGGAGACCTCCTGCAAGATTTAACAGCCTCCCCCACCAGTTGAAGAGCCCCCCAGGTGGCTCGATGCACTGGCGGCACCCTGCGCCAGGGCTGGGCCCCCATACACCCACCTGCCCACAACCCTGGCAACACACCAACCAGGACCCAAGCCCCCAAGGCCCAGCCAGGGCTCCAGCCCAGAGACGGAGCAGCCCCAGAACCAGGGTCCTAAAAACAGGACTCAGATGGGCTCGTGAAAAGTGGACAAAAGATTGGAAAACCACTGAATGAATGAGATTGAGAACGGCAGCAGTGGTTCTCAATCTGTGGAGTGGGCCACAAGACAAGGAGAAAATACATAAGGTAAAACTAAGCTAAATGCACGTGACATTTTAGGGAACAGTTTGCCGATTCTATGGTGCTGACCTTTATCCATCTTAAATTCCTTTTTTTTTTTTTTTTTTAAATTGGTAACAATCAATAAAAACTGTGGGATGCCAGGCATCGACTTTTCTTCGGCATTTTCTGAAACCCAAGAAAAAGTTTGAGAGCCACGTTCGTTCACGCTCTCCTCTTTCTGAACAAATTCTGTCTCGAAGTGCTTCTGATGTCAAATGCACATAAATAGCAGATCAAAACTTAAAAACCAGTTTGACTTACAAAACATTAGAGCGTCTAGATTCCCGCGACGCCTTCCTTTTGGTCTTCGTCAAAGCTTCTTTGAGCTGCATTTTCAAACAACACATAGCTTCCACTGTGGATTTTTGTGCTGGGCTGAAGTGTGCGACAGCTTTATAAAAAAAAAAAAAAAAAAAAAAGAAAACCCCTGGAACCAGAGTGCTATCTAAATGAGGCATTAGATGTGAGAGTGACACAACCATGTTGAAGGGATGTAAGCAGCCCGAGAGGAACATTGCTTCTAGCAACTCTTGTGTTGCATTAGTGATGATTTTCCAGGAGGCGCTCACAAAGACTCTTCAGAACACTCTCCCGAGTCCCATCACAACCCGGAAGAGGCCCAAAACAGCAGGCCACATGCACACGGGTGAGTGACACAACTTCACACATTCTGCTGATAACCAACCCCTAGCCCTAACTATAGCTAATCCCCTACTAGTATAAGAAAAAAAATATATGTGGGTCATTCTGGTTCTAAAAATGGCTGCCTGTCCCTGTGGCCTGCTAGAGCATGAAATAGACTTTACATCAGGTTAGAATGAGTAACGGCGACGAACAAAGTTTTTTTGGTCATTGCTCATTTTTCATCCTCTCTTTGTTGCTGTAATCAAACATATGGTAGTTCTCTCACTCCCCCCCCCTCCTTCTCTTTCAGTTTATGACCTGAATAAGATATCAGCAGTTTGCCAGGTTTGGAATATGACAGGCGCGGCTAAAGTCATGTAGAGATTTAGATAATGCGACTGCTGAACACTATACAATACTTTCCACCTCTGCCTTTCAAACTTCCCCCGTGCTGATAAGCGGGAATTCGGGGGTGGATTTCAAAATGCTTTGGATTTGCAAAGAGCCTGGTGATAATGCAAAGGTAGTCACATGACAGCACATTTATTTCCTACCCATTTGTGACGCTAGCCATCCCGCTCAATGACTGGCAGGTGAATTACAACAATATCTAGTCTCCCTTTTGGATAGTGGCTGCAAAGCTTCAAAACAGAGTGCGCACGCACACACGCACACATACAAAGAGAAGCTGCTCTTTCCTCTGCTTTCACTTTGACAACTTGGGCTGCAGTTTTTGGAAGCAAGCTTACTCACAGCAAATTGGATAATGCAGTTAGGGTTTTATTTATTTGCTGTAGTTGGAGGACAAGAAGTTTGCTTTTTCTGCAAAACCATATTGTTTCAATTTCCCCCCTCCGACACGACCACCTTCCTCCTCTCCATGTCCAGTGTCAGTCCCTGGTGGCTGCACGCTGAAATGGCCTCATGTTTATTTAAACTTAGAGGGGCAGCAGTTGAGCGCCTGGTGCCCCATTCATTTTCTGTGGTGTTTTCTTATAGCCAGCCAACCCCGGAGCCATTCATCAGCTGGACTAAGTGTAGCTACAGCACGGAGGGCTAAACAGCACTTCACCACAATGAGTGTGACATCAGCTCTCCACACAAACCAGCGGGTGTGTCAAAGAGTAGCACAATTACAGAGGAGAAGGAGAAGGAAAGAGGTGGAAAAATGACCGTGAAGAAATAAAGAAAGAGAGAGAGAGGAAGAGGAAGAATGGCAAAGAGTGTCAGTCATGTAGCTTCTAATTTTGGTTATGGCTCGAGCACTACTTTGTTCCACCACAGGCTTTTATGCTACAAGCATGAGCAGGCTCAAGATAGACAGAGAGACTCAGAAGAGCTATCGAATTAGCAAAAACCACACTCACACAGTCACACACACACTAAAAATATACTACATACAAATACAATGAGGAGGAGAGACTTATGATAAAAATAAAAAACTAAAAACTCCAAGTGGTGATGAGTATATTTGAAAATTCTGTGTCATGTATTTAAACAAGTACAGCCCTCCTCCATGAATGGCTTATTTTGAGCAATCTAACGTCCTTATAAACGTTTCACAAAAGAATTCGTAGCTATAGTAAACTATTTCAAAAACAATCTATTCAAACGTAGATAAAAGACGAGGATTTGCATCCGCAGTTGAGTGGAGAGCACAACAAAAGGAAAGATCAAAACCAAGAAGGAGGAATGAGAAAAAGGGAAAGGGAATTGGCAAACACCGATATCCAGCTGTGCCACAGTGAATCAAATTTTTAAAAAAAAATTAAAAAAAAAGGCAATATGAGCCACAGCCAAATCACCTGCAAGATAAATAGATGGGAAATAATGAAAGGAAAATTAAGGCAGAATCAAAGAGAGGCCACGCAGAGCATAAGTGTGTATATATCTATATATAGATCTTCATTTATTTTAATATTTAAACCCACTAAAAGTTGTAAATACAACTTTTGAATGAAAGGCACAGGAAAAATCAGACAATGCTGATATAATACTCAAAAGAAAAAATATATTACAGTACAAAAAGAGGACAGTTAGTTACGCATGAACAAATCCTTCCAAGTTGACCATCCTCCAGACTCGGGGAAACAGAAATACAGCTGACACAACAAAAGAGAAGGGGGTTCAGAAACAAAAATCCATTAGCCAAACTTGTCTTTATTGCTTTTCCAAACTGGCAAAAGGTCACATCAGCTCTCCAGGTCTCAGAGAAGGCCAAAAAATAAACAAACAAAAACTGCTGTGCTTTCTCCTTTCCCCACAGGTGGAGTGGCTCACTTTTGATTATTCGCCTGTCTGTTGACTGTGCTACACAACACTCCACTGGGCATCTGATTCACAACATCAAAACAGTTGACATATAAAACATATGGAGCCAGAGACGGGTTTGATTTTTTTTTTTTTTTTTTTTTTTTTTTTAAAGAAAGATCTCTCACAATGCATTACCAGCTGATCCTGCGCTCATTACGCTTTAATTTGTTGGCCCACCAAGTGTAAAATCAACCCAACCTCTAAGTGGTACCGAGTGTTTAAATATTCAGCAGACATTTCTGGGATTCAAAAAGTGCAGGTCAGAAGCCATTTCTGGAGCAAAGAAGTAATTTGGTTATCTTCATTGCTTTTTATACCGTTGGCTAGATGGAGCTTACTGAAGTCAACATTAGTGGGAGCATAGCACAGAAGAATTCATTTATAATTACAGATATTTAAAAAAACAAACAAAAACAGAATCTGAAAGAAGAGGCCACTACTATTCACTTTTATCAAGTTTGGGGAAAAAAAAGATTTATCCTATCAAGATGCTAACAAAGTAGAGGGGGTTTTGTGACATTTAATATGGCTAATTTATGCCTTAGATCTGCCTAGAGTTTTGGTTCTTAGGAGAGGAGAATCAGTATGCAGGTCCGACAGCTCACATAAGATGTGTGTACACATTAAAGTTTTTCTGGACAGCTCTGGTGGGGAACCAAAAATATAACTCTCTGTACTGCCTAGAATTCCTAATTTTACAACTAGCCTCTTTGGTATAGGCAAATCTGCATCAAGAGACCCACCAATGTCCAATTTGTATCTTCTTTTTCCTAAAAACAGCTGTCTCAAGCTCACTGGTCCCATTAAAAGGGAAAGATTGGGGGGGGTGGACAGTCCAGGATGATTGCATCAATTCTATAACTTTGAGATCAGGTGATTGTTTGGAATAGCAGGGAATTATACTTCTACAGACATCAAGGGTTTTCCTTTCGTCCTGCATGAAAATGAAAACTCCAAACTTTCTGTTTATCCTCTAAGCTTGATGCAGCCTGGCCTTTTCTGTTGCCAGACGGCAGATTCATGCTACTTCCACCTTCTCTGCAGCAATGCTACAGAGGGGGGCAAAGCCATGGCACAGCAAAAAAAGGAAGGAAAAAAATAAAAGAAAAACTTAAACTTGGATTCAATTTTGAAAAGAACAGCAAATTTAAACAAGAGAAATTAGTGTTACGATCAAACACAACAGTTCGGATGGACTGAGGAATGGCAGGAGGATCGACGTGGTCGGGGCTATGTCATGTTGCCGCGGCCGCTTGGACGCTCTGGTTTGTGTAAGCCTGTGTCCAGTGAAGGATGCGTTTACCAGAGCCCTTTCTCATCTTCCCATCCCCCAGAGATGGCAGCCCACCCTGGGTGGGGAGAATTTACCTCAATTCCCTCTCCATCCTGGTTCTAACCAGAATTTTATAGCGCCACATTCCTCTTTTACACAGGAGCAAAGTAAGGTAAAAGCTACAGCTTTGAGAAATCAGCTTTGAAGTTTGATTCTTACCCTTCCTGATGCAAGAGCTAACACCTTCCAGCTCCAAAGCATAAAGGAGAACAAATGACATCATGAACAAGAACCAGGATCTCAAGAGTCCAGAGACAAAAATACAGAATTCAGTCTCTCATTGCGTCAGGCTAACGCAGACTCCATTCATTACCTGGCCATGGCAGAGGAGGAAGCGGCAGCTAGCTGTGTGAGGTATTCGCGCAGTTCCTTTGCTGCCTGAAAGCGGCCGTAACGTTTTTTGGGTTTGGTGCACTCGTCCAACAGAGCCTTGAGTTGTCCATCTTTGGCTATGTGGGCAGGCGGGTCGTGGAGGAGACCTCCAGTGGTGCCCCGCCATGTAGCATACCGTGACAGCAGGTTTTGACATATGGCATAGTAGTTGTGGTCCACAGTGACCCTGGAACAAAGAGAGTCCTTGGAGAAAGACAGACAGGCCTCCCGGTCGCACTCCTCAAACCGGCTCTCGTACCACACGTCGTAGTTTTCCGGCTTGTCTGCAAGAGAACAGATACACAGGTTAATGAATCCGCGGCTATGAAAACGTACTAACAGCATTTAGTTAAAACAGATAAAAAAAAAAAAAGCATCTAGTGGATCATAAGCTTTGTTTTTCCCCAGGTGAATGTAATGAAGTGAGGCTGGGTTATGTAGGCCTTGCAAACCTTTAAGAAACTCCTGGAGCTATAAAATCAAGAGCATTTTTAATCTTTTAGCATTTACACCTTTATTGAGAGTGATACACAAACATGAAACCTGGGGGGGTTGTTGGGTAAGTCACGCAAAAATGGTTCAATCTTTGCATTCGGGGTATTCTGCTAAAGAGCTCCCTCAGATCTAGGCAGGCAGTTTTAGATGAATTCTTTCCTGGTGTAGTAAGAGCATTTCTCTTTCAGCAAACTGTTTTTTCGAAACTAAAGAGAAAAACTAAACTTGAAACTTTGGTAATTACAGTCAACTGTTCCACCGCATCTGACCGTGAAGAATATTTATTTTTTTTTAGTTTGTGCAAATTATTACCCATGAAATCAGCCTCAGCAGAAGCTGACAAGACCAAGGTGCCACTTTTGACACCCCACAGGCCCTAATGCGAAATACTATTTTCAAAGCCCAGAGGCAAACAACTCATCTACAGTTTCATTTGACAGAAATGAACCACTTTCCAGATTTATTGAGCAAATAAAATTCTTTCTCCAGCTCATTTCACATTGCTTTTTCCCCCCCTTTAGAGGATTGTGCTGGGAAAGAAGGGGGCCAAGAAAATAACCTGGAATGACGAGAGAGCTATTGGTTTGTGCATTAAAAGCCAGATCAATAGCATGGTGGGGAGGGGGTGGGGTTTGGACCCAGAGGATGCAAACACATAATCAGTCTATCAGCGATGTAATGCACTTCTCCTCTGGCTCATCAGTACAACTCAATCAAACATCCAACTCTGCCCTGTTAGCAAGGGGCCTCCATGGCCCCCCGAAGAGGAGGGGCACATCAACCTCAATCAGTGTGGGTGATGAAGATGGATATGCCTGCGTATGCATATACCGCAAGCAGGCGCATACATATAAAGACGTACACGCCAAAGCAGCAAGGTGAGGTGAAAGCAATTAATGTTTTGGAGCTGGCCATGCATCACACCTCAGCACTGATTGACAGATGGCATCAGGAGAATGTCCTGTTCTTTTACCCACACACACACACACACACCTAAAAAGAAGAAGAGAGCAATAGGTTTGTTCTCAAGGACAAAGATGAGCACAGCAAAGAAAGAAGAAGAAAAAAAAAATAAAGTACTTTGAGACTCAACTAAAGGCTAAAAAGAACTACGAGGTCTATTTACTTGCACCTCAATGCCTTCAGTTCTCTCCTCCTGCAAGCGCGAGTGTAACAAAGCTAGAAGATTTCCAACACAAACTAAATAATTTCCAATTCAAATGAGTGGAGAGCAGCACATGAGGTAGGCTGCCTAGCCTCACTTGTCTCCTGCATATCTGGTACCTTCCATGTTAAGGAGCTCAGGCTTGACTTGTATACATTCTCCTCACACCTCTGGCTTCACTGGGCTGCACTGAGAGGGGACATTGGGCCTGAAATGCTTGTTAGCGCGGCCTTACTAGTGGCATTCAAGAGTACGAGCCGGTTTTAACAATGTATGCCTGTGTTAGAGTGCATTATTGAATGTAAGAGAATGAGAACGGCGGTGTGTGTGTGTGTGTGCTGCTGCATGTGTGTGTTTGTGTAAGCCAGCAAGCGTCAGGGAGAAAGAGAGAGTGAGTGAAGTGTGCGTTACATTATACAGCATGTGTTTCCAAAAGCCACTAGGGGTGAAAACATCCTCAAATGCTATAAACTCAATGATGGGGAATGGCTCCTTTCGCACCACTGGACTGTGCAAACACAGCGCACAGCACAACTTCAACATAGCATGCGTTTTATCTCGCCGAAACCCATCACATCAATATGGATGCCCCTAATGAGAGGGTGGAACAGCACACGGCTTTCTGCGTGTTTGATTTGCAAATCAATTGGCCTTAGTTTAGACTGATGAGATTCACATCACACTCCTTAGCTCGCTTTCAATCTCAGGCTCTAATTGTAGGGATTGAATTCTGTTTGTCGGGCCTTGGGAAGTTACCGTGGCTATTTCCTACCGCTGTCCAACACATGGCACTGACCTCGTAATACTCATTATCGCTGTCGTCCCTCTTCGTCCTGCTGCGCCCCGGCACTTGGCACGCACACAAAGAGATTCAGGCGCGCAAACATGCAAGAAGAAAATAAACTTGGGGCTTAAACTCTGAATAGCCAGGGTAAGCAGCTTGAGATGTCAACCTCTAAATGTGTCGGCCAGACCAAGGGAGTCTCAACCTGGATTGTGCTTTAGGGCTTGCAAAAAGGACTACTTGTGACAGGGCGGAAAATTGCAGGTTTTGGCACCAAGGCAAATATACACACTTTAGTGTGGTGCATTGACATATCGCATTATCGCGCACCAAATGAGGGAAAAACTCAAGGGGCAAAAACTCCAGGGCATGTTGGAGTACCTTCCCATGTTGTACATCAATTTGCAGTTTTCTGGTGTCAGATCTTGTAATTTGGCAAAATGGCACTTTATCTCAGGATAAATTCATCACAATACCTTCGCCTACAGCTAAAAAAGTGCATACACACCCCCTTTCTCTTTCTCACACACACACACACACACACACGCTCCTATCTGTCACAGGGCATAATGGTGGAATCTCAACACCCAGCGACACAACAGTTTATCACTTTAATAGGATTTCTGCAGGAAGGGACAAATCTAAGAGCCTTACTAGGTGGCCTTGCCTCTCTCTGTAGTGGCCCCTAGAAGGGGGACAGAATTGTAGGAAACCGCAGCACTGAGCGTGTGATGTATAACTATCTCTGTCCTTGTTATGAGGTTTATTCTGAGAAGCAAAAAAAAAAAAAAAAAAACTAGGGCAGCGGAGATGGCTCGTTATCCGAACGATCTTAGCTTTGATGGGGACGTGCGCGTTAGAGGCAGAAGGGGTGCTGGAGGAGTGTATATTCTTAGAAGAGAGGAGGCTTCGAGCATGCGTGTCCCTTGAGGCCTTTCCTCAAACCTTCATCACTTCCTCATAAGCTACAGTTTGCGGGTATAGTTCTGACATCAAATGCAGTGTTTTCTAGAAAATACAAACTGTGGACAGCGTTTAAAATCACACTCAGGCTTCGGAAAAACTTTTCAGACGGAGGATTAATTCACGAGTAATTATGTTATAAATAAAAATAATGGTTTATTGGGGGGTCATAACGTTAGAGAAGCATCAATGACAGGTCCATCATTTCTGCATGTTGCTTTATGTGCTAATGTAAATAACACCCTGTAAAGATGAGCAGCAGTTCTTTATGAAGTGGTTGTGTTTAAAGGCGTCAATGCATACATGTTCACGAACAATGACTTATTGTCATGGAAACTGTAGGGACAGACTCTGTGAGGCATTACTCACAGACTTATGGATGTACATGTCTGTGTACACATACACACAAAGTGAATGTGTGGAAATTTATTGGCAGTGCCACTCACTCTGCTTGATGAGCCTTTTGTCGGCCACAAGAACGTTCTCGGCGTCGACAATGATGACCTTTCCGTCACGTGGGCCGACCGCAAAGTTGTCAAAGCTGACATCGAGCAGGTAGAGGGCGAACTCAAAGTCATTGTTGGTGAGCTGCTCGGCAATGTCCATCAGCTGGCGTGCCAAGTCTACCCTCTTCTCCCACGGCGCATTGTAGAAGCTCCACAGATCCTCACCTACGTAGTTGACAGCTACCACGCGCCCACATGCTCCCAGGTACTTGGCGAACGGCCACCCTTCATCTGACGGAAAGCTCTGGGAAGGAGAAACAGATGAGCGTGGAAGGCAGTTTATTTAAAAAAAAGAAAAAAAAAACAGATAAAAGAAGTCAGGCTGTGTAATGTAGTTGGCTGACAGAAAAAAAGAACCCAAAAACAAAACAATAACAGTGGCTCTGAACAGCAAAGGTTAACACATGAATTGGAAGAACCTTCAAATATTCAGAAAATATTTGTTTAACTTGCACACGAATTGGCTTCTTTAACACGGACAGATGAAACAAAAATCCCAAAAAGCAAACACAAAGATTCTGTGTGCAGCCTGAGGTGATGTTTTATACACAATTCTAAGCACAATAGCTGAAAATCTGCCAAGGATCACGTGGGTATAACGGATTAAATTTAATAAAAGCAAAAGCCAGTTTGTGTTAAAGCCCTACAGCTATGAGTTGATGTACGCCGCTATATTCAGTGGTTCCAGAGAACTGATAGGAGATGATTTGTGGTAACAGCAGTTAACAGGAAAGCCTTATGTGTTGTGATGCAGCTGTGGGGCGATTTAAACTGCTGTGTGATGTCGACTAACTGAGTTAATGCAGCTTGGGCATGCTGACAAGAAATCGCTGTGTATTATAGGTTAAACTGATTAATAATAAGGTAATACCACCAGATGAAGGCTGTACTAGCGCACTAGAGCCTAATCTCTCTTGGATTTATTTGCCTCTGCTGGGGTCAGATATGCATGTGTGACCTATCATCTGCAATTGCCTAATCAAGTGGTCACATTGGTACAGGCAAACACATACACAACTGTGGACAGTTGTACAAACGTATGTGAAACTTAAATGAGATAGGCATGAAGCAGCTGTATCTGGCAAATGTTGCAGGCTGCTGGGGGACTCGAATCTCTAAGTCTCATTACCGCTTCGATCTCCCTCCATGAGCTCTCGTGTCTCACACTTTCCCTGCATCCATTTCTTTTCTCTGGGGCCCATTTCATTGTCGCAGGCTGCCACAATGGTCAGACAAATTAATAGAAAATAATAGAATGAAAGCCTGTTTTTCTTTTGTTTCGTTTTTTTTTTTCCCGCAGACACATGGGTATTGCTGCAAGCGGTACGCCCTCCACCCTATAAACCCGCTGCCATAGGACTCCATCTTTTATAATAAACACCCGTCCATATGCTAGCCTAATGATTGCCTGCATTTCCTAAGTAACAAATCTCTCCTGGGTTGCAGTTTTTGGCAGGCAGCCGCCACATGGGCACAGACTGAGAATTGGGAGCACTTGTCTTTCACAGCAGCCTCGGTCGCCCTCCCTTTCTGAAACCCAATCGCACCTGCGATAAGGCAGGGAACACATCGTGACACTGCAGGTAAGGTGTGAACTACTATCAGTGTTGCATCTCACTTTACACTCGAGGTAATTCAATACTTTACCAGCTTTCAATTTCTGTCATGAGGGTAGGAGGTTAAATATGCATGGCTGCCCCAACTCTTTAAACTTTAATGAAATACAAATTATTTAAAGACATACATTTTAACCCCCTCCATCCGCCTCCTCCCGCACACCACGCAGCTGCTATCTCAAAGACAGCAGCTGGACTCCTGCCACATGGAGACTGTGGCACTGGGAGGATGCAAGTGATCTGGAACCCAAAAGGCATTCAGGTGATGACTATGGTGCGATTTGCAGCTTTGCTTGTGTGCCACTGACTATTTTTGGGGTGTTTTATTTTGAACACTCTGCAAACTATGCTGTGCATGATGCAATGAAGTCAAGGCAATTCTAAGCCCAACAAAGTCAAGTAAAGCAGCGATGACTCAATGTGACGAATCCAGACAGCAGCAAACTTTTTCCAGCCTATCAGTCTGTTAAGTGGCGTAAATCTATACCTTAGGTGTATCTCTTGTTCCCATCAGTTTTAAGAAAGAGTCACAAGCTGGACTGAAGGACAATGATAAGTTGCATGCGGTGTAGGTCGAACCCATTTCCCTGAGGTGACCCGATCAATCGTGGGCCAGACAACAGTCTGTCCATGAAGCACTACTTGCTTCTTGCTGCCTTGTCTGTCTGTGCTCATCATCACTAGACTTGGCAGTGACTCACCCAAACTTCTCCAAAAGCCTGTGCTTCAAAAACCTTTGTCTAGACTTTTAGATACAGCAAACTCGACAAGAAGAGAAATTAAAGGAAGTCCATCACATGCTCAGAAATGAATGATAATGGTGGGCTGACTGCACTCCCAAATACTGGCTGGAGGGGAGACAATCCCAGGTTACTGAGATGCCATTAGCCACTGGGCTAAGAGAATTAGGATTAGAGATTTAATAGGCTAAATATCTAAAATGGCTTTCTAATTTCTGAGGGTGGTATATAAAGATTAAGTTGAAGCTTGATCAGTTAGGGGGTATATCCTTCTTAGGCTCGCCTCCCTTTGACCCAAATTCAAGCCTTTATGTTGCTGCAAACCTAAGCGGCTCTCTGTCACAATGACAAAACTTGCCCTGTCCAACATTATGACTAAAACCTCCTTTGCCAAGCATCAACCTCTTCTCTCACGCCTGCAGGGTGGATGGTGAGATGTGGGGTTGCGGGGCCAGCCTGAGAGCCAGAGAACGGAGAAAAGAAGAGAATACGATGGAGACAGCAAACAGAAGAGACAAACAGAGTGTCTTTCACTTCTACGCTCCAGTAGACAGGAGGAATAAACCAGCAAAGACCTGCCTGCTAAACACATCTCTCTCTTTGTTGTCAGGTTACAGCCCTGAATAGGAGGAAAAAGTAGAGCGACAGCAGATGGGGGGGATAGCTGATGGGAGGGAGGAGAAGGATGAATGCCCTACGGCTACTTTCATATACTGTCAACGGCTGTTATTAGAACGCCTTCATGTCTGTCTGGTCCTCGTTCGTGGTTCTTAACATAGATGTTGCTCGTTCGCGGTGCTAGAAGGCTCGCTGCGCTGCGTCAATTACCTCGGTGCCATTTTTATGAGCTTCCTGTATTTAAATTTTATACACAATAAGTCTGAAAGTGAGAACTACCGAACAGCGTGGGCAGGCACACGAGAGTGGGCACCTGAGCTTTGGATTCAAACTCGCCTATTGCAAGGCTTGATAAATACTCTACGTGTCCCACCAATCATTCTCCCTTAGCGCTCTTTAAACGGTTACTCTGCAGAAGTCATTAACGTCCGCAATGAGGCGTTGAGTGGGGAGGGGGGGATAAATTGGAAAGCCCAGCCTAATATTACATCCACTGCACTATCTCTGAGCAGACCTGGGAGGTACTCTGGTGTGTGTGTGTGTGTGTGTGTGTGTGTGTGTGTGTGTGTGTGTGTGTGTGTGTGTGTGTGTGTGTGGGGTTACTGCAAAGGTAGTGAATTTTACCAGTCGTCACCCAATCATGTTATGCTATTTAAAAATGCTGAGGGTGCAAAACTGCCAATGACACATCCCAGCAACTTTTACTGCTTTTTAAAGTCTTATCACTTCTTGTTCCCTTCACTGGATAAGAACCTTTTATTTCCTGCTTAGCAAAACCTTGAACTTGTAAAACATGGAGCCCAATGCTTTCCCCCCCACCCCCCCTTCCTCCCCTGCAAAATTTTTTTGCCATGTCACAGAAATAATGAGCTGGGCTCGGGAGACAATGAAAGCAAGGGTGGAAAACAGACTCTTCTCATTAAAGACGACCTCATAGTGACTTCTAGGCCCAAGTCTGACTAATCTAATCTTTAAGGTTGTGCCAATTCGCCACCGTAGCAGTGACTGGGGGGGGTTGTGGTGCTTTCCACCCCCTCCCTTGTAATACAGACACACTGGCGTTCTCTCGGGGGTAGATTGGATTGGGCTGAAATGTAACAGGGCCACAGACAAATGGGCAGCCTCTGGAGAAGAGGATGAAACGAATGGAGCGAGAGGCACAGGAACACACACCTGCGTCCTGACATCTGCTGACAAAGGCATGCCCTTCTACAGGGCCACTTGGGGAGGGCGTGGGCGTGCGTGTGAGTGAAAGCGTTCAAAAAGAGGCTCCTTGTTTGGGTGTGCGTGTGAGTGTGTCTACGTGAAACGCCATCCGAGTGCATGTGAATGAGAATACGCAACGTGACCAGGGCTGATAACAACCTCTATTCAAGGGCCGAGTAAACATGAGTGGCTCCCAAGATATTGCCTTGGCTGGCTTGCAGAGAACACTGGACCATCAAACGCACACACACACACACACACACACACGTATATGTTGGACGCAGAGTTGAGTTTAAAAGGAAGCAGTTGCCTTCATCTTTGCAACCACAGCTACTTTCTGCGTAAAGGAAATTAGTAGTTGCAACCAAAGTGTGCAGCTTGTTAAAGCCCTAAGCCGGGCGTGGCGTAAATTCTCGACATTTTCTGTCTTTAACAAAACCTCGCCTCTTTGTAACAAACAAGCCAGGACAAGACTCGTAAAGAGTCCTGGGATCAAACTGTAAAGTTGATGACACGTGGCGGATAGACACAATCAGTCAGATAAAACGAAAGAGACAGAAAAAAATAACTTTGAACCTCAGTATTACAAAATGAACATTATTCAGTCTGTTTATCAGGGGGGATTAGTGTTAAGAAGGAGCCACATCTGTTTTGCAAGGCTTGAAAGGCAGGAGCTGCCAAGCTGGACCTGGGGAAAAAAGAAAGAAAAAAAAAAACCTATTGCTTTTCTGTGCAGCTCTCCTGTTGACCTTGTGTGTCTGGAGGATGTTTGGCGAACCCCGTCTGGCACTTTGCTGGCCATTTATGTTTAAAATCCAGTCAGTTAGTCTGCAGTGAGAGCTCAGACACCACAGGGGAACCAGCCTCATCCTAGCACACATGGTGCAACTTCTTTTCCGTGTCGCACGTCTCCCGCTGCTGCATTTCCTGCTAACCTAGTTTCCCCTCCCTCTCTCCCTTTGTTCCGCCCCTAAACCTGCGATACAGGGCAATGATCCCACATGTTCCAGACATCGGATCCAGGAAATGCCGAGTCACGGCACCACACTGAGGAGTGCATACAT